ACATGGAGAATGATGTCACACAACTCTGTAATCCTAGCTGTTGGGATTCAGGACTGTTTTGTTTCAGTGACATAACCTCACTGGTCCTGACTGACTAGCCTCAAGGCTGATGGAAAGACAAGGTTAAAGACACAGTCCCAACCTTCCAATTTGCATATCTTAAGCAGAAACCTAAATACAAGGAGAGAGTTTGATAAAGAGCAGCAAATAGCCATTCACAACAAAATCATTCCAAAGGGTGCCTTGGAGCAGCTGGAAATGTTCAGCCCCAGAAAAGACAGCAGTGAGGAATCCGAGAAGGTGGTTCACACGTGCTAGAAAGGCCTGAGCTGACTTTGCAGAGGAAGGGGGAAGAGACGAGTTTTGAAGCCTTGAAGCCGAGGGAGATTTGAGGACAATGGTGGGAGCAGGAGATTGAAGAGGATAAGAGAGCAAAGGAGATACATACAATCAAGTGAAGGATGGAACACAAAGGTCCCCTCAGTAGGTGATTTTTGGGTGAAGAAGGGGCTTTGAGAAAACGAGAGCTAGGGAAGTTCTCAGAGAAAGGAAAAGAGGCCAGACTGGGGGGAAAAAAAAAAAATCACTGGTGCAGAGAGAGGGACCTCATCTCCATCCTGTGCTTTCCATCCTTCCTTTGAGGGAGAAATGCCTCTATAAACTACCTCAAGAAGAATGGCAACAGTGAAACTGACTTTTGAGGCTTGTTTTAATCATGCAGACACTACTTTCAAGAACCAATTTGACTTCAGATAAAGCCCAAACTATTGTGGTTTGTTAACCCTATTTGAGTAATGACTCCCAACAGCTATAGGTGTCAACCACACTTTAAACCTTGTCAGCCATGCAGTCCGTGTCAGCCAGTCAGTGTCTCAGTCAGTACCAGTTAATCACTGCCAGTCAGCCCATGTCTGTCCCCTTGTGTCTGTCAGTCAGACAGTGTCAGTGTCAATGAGTCAGTCAATGTGTCAGTTAGTGACAGTGTCAGTGAGTCAGCCAGTCAGTGTCAGCGAGTCACTCAGTGTGTCAGTCAGTGACAGTATTAGTGTCAGTGAGTCAGTCAGCCAGTCAGTATCAGCATCAGTCATTCAGTGTCAATGAGTCAGCCAACCAGTGTCTGTCAGGTTCCGTTACTGCTTGCCAGTCAGCCAGCCAGTCACCGTCAGTCAGCCAGCCAGTCAGTGTCAGTCAGTCAGTCAGCCAGACAGTGTCAGTCAGTCAGTCAGCCAGTCAGTGTTTGTCAGTCCACCAGCCAGCGAGTTAATATGAATGGCATTCAACTGGTCTCTGAGTTATGCTCTCATGCCTTTCTGTTTGTTTATCCAGCATCTTCCTGGGCATTACGATAGGTTTATCATTCCTCCATAAGAACAGAGAGGTGACATTGTTTCCCCAGGAACTCAGAGCAAAGTAATTACAAGCTGGGTCAAGCCCTCAGCCCCTTATTTTCAGCTTGGCTCCCAGCAGTTGGGCTGAGTGCTCCGATTCCAAGAGCTTCCCGAGTTCTAGTGGGCATCAGTCCAGAAGTGAGGTGAAGGGAACAAGGTCACCTTTTGACTCTGAAGAGCCACTTCCTCCCCTGCAGGGGTTTTTGGCAGTCTCCCACCAAAGCGCTCATCTGGCCTCGTTCCGGGACTGGCAAGATTAACACAATGATAGCTCAGGCCCTGTAACAGCAGGCCCTCCAACTCCCAACCACACAAAGCTGTGTTGTCTATGGATGGGCAGATGCATGGTTTTCCTGACAAAGCGAGAAAAAGAATAAACACAGCAGCTCCTTTCTCAGGCAGGACTAGAGCTAGCGGAGGGGATGGGTGGGGCCATCCTAAGTCCTGTCCTAGGGCCCAAACTTGAACATTGCCATGGGTATTCTTTTTGTCACCCAGACACTGTCTCCCTTCTTTGTTCTGAGGGAAACTTAAACCTTCTGCATTCCCTTAAACCTTCTAACACCCCACCAACCATGTGGGTCCCTGCAGAAGCTGACAATCCCAGGACGTGTCCTCATCAGAGCCGGAGGGGGGCATGAGACCCAGCTGCCCCCCATTGTAGTGCCTCATGGTGATTGGTCCAGGGGCGGGCATATGACCCATGCAGGCCAATTGATTCTTCCCAAGATTCTTCTGAGGCTGAAAGTCCTTTAGCTGAAAGGATATGTACCTAGGTCTCTTAACAGAGTGGCTCTCCCTGTGTAGAGAAAACCTGAGAAGGAGAGAATAATCCCACATGCAGAAGAAAACCAAAGAGAGAATCCTGACAGACAGGGTTCAAGCAACCAACCAACCTCGAAGTTGCTTTCCCCTCACCCCCCATCCCAGTCTCCTGGCTCCTGATTTGTGAGCCATGCTTGTGAGTCATGAGCTCGCCTCATGCAAACCAATATACTTGCTACCCTGTTAGATTTACCCCTTCTTTTTTAAATCTTTTTTTTTTAAGATTTTATTTATTTATTTGACAGACAGAGATCACAAGTAGGCAGAGAGGCAGGCAGAGAGAGAGGAGGAAGCAGGCTCCCCGCCGAGCAGGGAGCCCGATGTGGGGCTCGATCCCAGGACCCTGGGATCATGACCTGAGCCGAAGGCAGAGGCTTTAACCCACTGAGCCACCCAGGCGCCCCAGATTTACCCCTTCTGACCTCATTTGGACACAGCTCATCCTGTATGTGATTTGCTCAAGACCCTCCACTTCTCCTCTTGAGCCCCTTGCAGCAGAGGTGGGCAGAGAAAGCCAAGGAAGGCCCACTCAGCCCTCAAGAGGGTGCAGGAGACTGTCCCTGAGGGACTCTGAGGCACCTGCCTCGGACACATGTGGCCTTCCCCAACTATGAAGCACGCACGTTGTCTCTTGGACTCTGACACTCTGGTTATGGAGAATGTTCTCTGGCTTGTTTCTCAACAAGCAAAACAGCTTCATAGGCAGGAGACAATCCCATAGGACATCTCCACTTAGAAGGACCCCAGGCTTGGTTGAATTCTGTGCTATCAACTATCTTGAAATACTTGATCACTTTTGAACGAGGGGCCCTGCATTTTAATTTTACATGGGGCCCCACAAGTTATGTAGCTGGTCCTGGCTCTGGGCATTCCCTCATGGTGGGATTTGTGATTTCAAGTAGTTACTCCAGCTCCTTGAGTCCCCTCTCCCATCCCCCATCCCTTCATGTCTCTTCCCCTCGCCCTGACCATGACCATGCTCTTCTCCCCTAGGGACTCTTCTCCCAGACATGGGGAGCTGTCCCTGCACCAACTAGCAGTTGGCTCTTTGCTCCCTGACATGAGTTCTAGGTAAAATCCGGAGGGCTGGAGTTTGTTTTATCTGGAACAATGAGGACCTGAGTGGCTTCTGTTGCTTCTCTCCCTTTAGCCGCCGATATTCTGCAGTTCTGCCTCAAAATGCCGTCCAGAGGCTTCTGGAAAAGCTGCATGAGCAAAAACACGGTCCGGCACCCAGCTGCTCAGATTTGAGCAGTCGAGGGTTCTGCTGCAAGTTGATACAAGAAGTGGTGTTTGTGAGACTGCTTTGTGGTTCTGTAAGGAGGATTTTAACAGTCTGGCAAACAGGCAAGCAGCCCGCTTGAGAAACCTGGAAACAGCCCACTGAGCATCCAGCAAAGGCCTGTCCTCGCTTTGGGCCTTGCTGTTTCCCCTGGAAAAGGTAGATTCCAGCCTCTGACCCCCAACAGTGGAAATAACACCACATAAAGCAGCCATTACATCGGTCTTCATAGCCACAATATTGAATGTGAAAACCTGACCTGAGGGGAGAAGCAGACACAGGAGAAAATGATATACAATTTGGTAACAGTCCAGATATGGATAAAAGTGATTTATTTTTGGATCATGGTAACAGTTATGCGACCAGGAACTTTTCACTCACCCGTCCATCCATGTTTTGTGTCATAAAGACATACCAAGACTTCGGAAAAGATTCCAAAGGGGATTACACTGAAATGTGCTGTCTCTTCACTTGTTTTTGTGCTTGTCTTAATCTCAGTGAATCAAATAAAATAGCTTTACAGCTTACTAAAACTCAAACTTGTCCTCAAAGGAAGCAGTTTAAACATTTCCAACTGTAAGTCAGCCTTGCAACAATGCCACATCAGGAGACACATCGGAGAGACAAAAGCAGCTCTAACGTAAAGCTTATCTTGCCAAAAGAAAAGAAAAACAAAAACTCCGGGAGGGAAATCCAATTTTTCCAGAAAGAGTTGACCTTCTTCAGGACTGAGGTCCCCAGATAATAAGACACAACTGTGGGTGCAGTGTCCTCTTTGGGGAAAAAGGAGTAAAGAGCAGATCTGGCTGAAGCACGCTAAAAGGCTGGTTGAAAAAGATGAAAGGGGTCACAGGGAGACACAACGTCACTCTATCACCACTGGCAGCATTGACCCTGAGTTAGAGGGCTGGATGCAGACTCTCCTGGGCTGGCTCCCAGGGGTACACCCTGGTGTGCCAACAATGCCCACAGCTGAGTGGTGCACTGAGAAGGGTTTCCTTTTGCACTCCCAGTCTGCAGGAAACTTTGGGGGGTTGGGAGCTGATTTTACACTGGAAGGTGCCTCACACTCTCCTGGATAGCCAGCCACCAAGGGCCCTCATAAGCAAATGAGCCAAGACCTGCCCCACTGGACTTGTAACCCAGAGTGAATGGCAGACGCCCCCTAGAGATGCCAGGGTCCCCTGAGGATGCAGGGTCCACAATGGGGAAGCCCAGTCTCCTTTCTTGCCCATTGCAAATGGGTGGGTCCCTTTGCCCCAAAACTCAAAGCAGTAGCTGGCTGGAAGAAACAGCAGTGGTGGAAGGGGCCAATAAACCTCCATGACTGAGGACAGCTCAGCTCTTCACTGACCCACCTCAACGTTCCTAGGCACAAGTCCTGACTCAGTGGGCCTTGGCTCACGTGTGAGGGGCAGCTTAGAAAACTCAGCCAGTAGAGGAGCTTGCTGGAAAATGCCCTGAGGGAAGTCTCTGAGTCAAGAAGGGTGTGTGTGTGTGTGTGTGTGTGTGTGTGTGCGCGCGCGTGCGTGTGGTGTGAAGGCCCCAGGAGCAGACCCTCAGGACACCATGGCCCTGCCCCGCCCCCACAGACCAGCAATCGCAATCTCAGAGTGACAAGTGGAGCCCACACATCAAGGCTAGAATTCTAGGTTCCCCTCATGAGGTAAGAAACAGCTCATCTGAAAACCTCCAGATGCTGAAATCTCCATCAACCAACCCACTACATATGTCAAATGTGATTTGATACAATAAAATTCAAGGCCATGTACCAGGATTTTTCAAGCTTTTTCCAGGACCCACCTCAGGTTTACAGGGGTACTAAGGGGATGCAGGTGCACCCACCTGAAGCTAACGAATAGGAGTTTCATACCTAGCTTGATTACTTGCAGTGCATTCTGAGATTTCCTCTTTCTGGTGTAACCCATAAAATTGCCTTTGTGACCCACTTGTGGATCCCAGCTGCAGCTTGTCAAAACAGGCATGGAGTGTTCTAGACCAACCCTCGGAGCTGTCGGGGGACCCGTAGACTTCCACACATAAGACATCACTCCCTCCCGGAAGTGGCCGACCTTATTGACCTCCAGCAGCAAGCCCTGCAGTGTCAGGGAGGGTCATCGAGTGCCACCAGGAGCCGGGCTGAGGGTGAGGAAGCTGGCTTCCCTGACCATCTTTGAAGAAAAGGGGGCTTTACAGCGGCTCGCCCCAGGAGCAGGCTGACAACCCGCCCTGCCCAAGTGGTAGGGCAAGGCTGGGACATCAGTTGCGGTGGCATTGGCGAGTTCCTTAGGATTTTCCCACAGGCGCACCAGACCTTTGGAATTTCTGGATGAGAAGGATGAGCCTGGTGACGTCGGAGAGCGCGGGGAACCGGGCCATGACGCTGTCCACCTGACGCGGCGGGAAGATGCTGCAGAGCACGATGCGCGCCCGCGCGCGCGCGTCCGCCTCGCTGGGAGCGGAGGGAGGCGGCGACCCCGATGGTCCCCCGAAGGCGCCGTAGCCCCAGCCGCGTTCCGCCCAAGCCGACCGGCTCGGGAACCGGCCGGCCGCCGGGGGAAGGGCGCGCGCGTCGACGGGCCATCTGCGCTGGGGGAGCAGCTCACTGTGCGCGGCCCCGGGGACGTGCCCCCCGCGCGGCCGGGTCGGCGGGCCGGACGAGACCCCGGGGCTCGGGAGGTCGGGCGAGGCTGCCGGGGTCGGAGAGGGCCCCCGCGCCACCCAGTCCGGCCGGCGCGGCTGGGGCGTGAGCCCGGCGTCCCGAGGAGGCGTCCCGAGGAGCCCCGGGTCGTCGCTGAAGGCGAGCCGCGAGAAGCCGCCTTCGAGCGCAGCCACGTCGGCCACCCGCCGCGCAGAGGGCAGGCTGCGCGCGCCGAGCTCCGGGCCCCCCAGCCAGGCCGCGGCGGAAGCGCCCCGGGGGCCCCCCTGCTCCGCCTCGGCCGCTACAGCCCGCGCGCCCCTCAGCCGCTCCGCCTCCGCGCCTCGCCAAGCCCGCGTCTGCGCTCGCAGCTCGTCAGCCACCGCCAGCTGCGCCAGGTGCGGCCTCTCCGGGTGGTAGAACTTGCACTTGACGCCGTAGGTGCATTTCTTGCCTGGAAGGGGCGGGGCAGTGGTAGAGGGCGGGGTGAGACCTCGGGAGGGAGGACGAGGTGGGGAGAAGTGCCCAGGGGCCGGGTTAGAAGGGTGAGGGTGTGGTACGCTCCCCCACTCCCCCCACCCCCGGTGGTGTAGGGCGCTGGACCCAGTAATCTCAGTGTCAGGCAGGGAGATTGGCGGTGTGGAAACTCCCTTTGGCCAGGAACTGAGACCAAACCTCTAGATCCAATGACCTTCGACCTCCACTTCCCCAGGGACCCTGTGGATGGGGCCAGCCTTCGGGATAGGGTGGGGAGCAGGTGCTCGAGGCATAAGACCGCACCTCCAGTTCTGCCTCGGTTTCCACCATTGGTCTCATTCCTTCTGCGAACCATTGCCCTCTCCCTACAGGCTGTTCTAACAGAGGTGATCCTGTAATGTATCGCCCAAACCGGGACCCTGCTGAGGGCAGGATCAAGAAGAGCCAACCTGAATGTATGTGCGGTCGCCTTCATTCTAACAAGAAGTGACTTTGAGTATCACCTAAGGTTTTTTAAACTTCTATGGACATAAGAAGCAAGACCTGGGATGTTAAACAAACAAACACAACCCAACAATCTTGCCAAAGCAAGTTAGTGAAAGCTGGCTAGAAGCGCTGTGGGATAAAGTCCTTAATTCTTAATGGATAGCATTGACCAAAGTCCGTGAAGGGGTGGGGCAGGTTGCCCACACATGTTCCAGGGTGCCAGGGGAAGGGACTGAGGAGGAGTTTGGGGGTACACATAGCTTCCTTGCTTCCTAGATGCGGCTTAGCCCTGTGTATGACCCCCGCCTCTGGCCCTAGCAAATCCTCCAGTGCCACCGACACCCATGATGTCTGTCCATCCTTGTAATAACCCAGCCAGCGTGCGCGGGCCAGACAGGTTAAATTAGCTCTGCAGTGTCACACAGCCAGGTAGGAGTGGACCCTGGACTAGAACCAAGGCTGCTGATTCTGCCCTGTACTGCCTTGATATGGGACCTGACCCAGGAGCATGGGGCGTGGGGAGCTACTCACCATAGGGGCAGTGCTGCCAGGATGGCTCCGGGGGCTTTGGCTTCCGGCTCAGGAAGTTGCTCAGAGTGGGTCCCCGGCGGCCCAGGGGGTCATCAGGGGGCATGAACCTGTGAACAAGCACAGGGGGGCAACTGCTGGATCCCCAGACGCTCACCTCTGGCACCTGTATGGGGAGCAGGCCCCAGCCAGCCAGTGCAAGAATGGCAGCACCAGGCATGGCACCGGCCTGGGATCCCCATTCAGGGCCCCTTCTAGAGAACCCCCCAGAGGGTGTGTAGCATTTGGAGCAGAATCACCCTTGAGTCTCATGGACCCTAGGAGGGGCCTAGCCCAGCTCGCAGAATCACCAAAGTCTCCTGGCTTCATACAAGTCCTACTTAGTGGGTTCCGGAGTCTGCATTGTAACAACTTTCCAGGTGATTCTGACCCACTGAAATGGAAGCCTCATTGCTCTAGGGCTCCCCTGGGCCTCAGTCTGAAAGCAACTCTAAACTCCTTTCCCACTGACCTCAACAGAAGTGCTGAGACCTCCATGGGGCAGCAGACAGCCCTGGGCCTGTGAGCCCTGGCTCAGATCCCACTTCTCCCGTGTTGCCCCACAGCTCTGGACATAGGCTCGTGGGGGGAGTAAATGTTAATAGAGTTTGAAATGCTAGCAGGGAGCCAGTGAGGAAGCAGATCTCAGGGGGGGTGGGCACACAGAGCCTCGGTGACAGGCCCAGCCCCTTCTGGCAAACCCAGGGAGCTCTGGGGTTGGTCTCAGCTTGTGCGGCTCTCTGACCCCAGCCCTGTTCTTGGATGATGCCCCCTCTCTGCCCCTTCCTGTCTTCCTGGCATGTAGTTTCCCAACGAAGGGAATGCATCCTCAGTGGGCCCACAGCTCAGAGAGAGAAAGGGTCCTTGGAAGGAAAACTCCCCTCCTTTAGGGTCATCCATTTTTTATATGAATAGTTCTATTTCCAGGTGGCACTTCCAGGTCATACAAAGTTTCCACCAGAGGACTTGTGGACCCTAAATGGCAGGGTGAAGGGGGTCCTGTTTTTAATACGTTGGTGCCCCTTTGAGAGTCAAGGGTCATACTGAGTCCCACCGTGCAGACCATGTACACTAGGCCAGCCCAGAATGGGGCAATCCCCAGGCCCAGGCAGCCTCTGTGGCTCAGATCCCAGCTTCCCAGCTATGCAGCCAGCTTCTCCGAGTTGGGTGCTGACCAAGAATCTTAGGGAGCCGCCTGCTGCGGTTATTAGAGGTTCCCAAAGGCTTCACCTCCTGCTCTCCGCCAGGCCTTGGCCATGGCCAGCTGCGCCAAGAGGGCCCTATGGACATGCCTGGGGCAATGGGGCGGGCGTCCTCTCCTACAGGCAGGCTCTGCTTCCTGGCAGTTGGGGGAACCTTCTGGCAGGCCCTTACCAGGGCCCAGTGCGTCAAAAGGACTTGGCTAGGGCCCTGGGCTGTCACCAGGCCAAGGGCAGCCATGATCCATCAGACCTCAGTGAGGATTTTCTGGAACCCACTGTTATCAGACTTGCCAGATTTCTCTGGGCCTGAACTGGATGGAGGGAACCGCTGGCCCTGAGTACGTGGACATGACCATGGGGGCTACTGGGGGGTAGCTGCTTGCAAACGTCTGCCCTGGGGCTTAGGAGGGTGAGAGTAGGGACAGGCATGCCCACAAATGGCAGAACCTCTGTTTGAAACCACACCTGCTGCCTCCAAAGCCCTAGCTCTTTGCTGAAGTGGGAGCGATGTCCCAGCTTGCTGTGACCTCCCCACTCTGGGCTAGCCACAGACCCATGCCCACCTTGCCGGGCTCCTGGCCTTTGCTTTTAGCACACCTGAGGACATCTGCCTTGCTTTCTCCTCACCTTAGCTCCATCTGGGAGCCCCTGCCCAGCATTGCTAACAGGCACTTGCCTTGTGTTCCCAACATCGCCCTCCCCCAGCTAGAGCTGGTTGGTCCAGGGCAGACCTGACCCAGGGGAACCGACCTCGGGAACAGAAGAACCAACTAGATTCTTTTGAAAATTTCAACCAACAGGTAATGAGACAGACTCAATTTCAAGATCTTCACAACCCCATGGAGATGAGTCCCACATGTAATTCAAAAGTTAAAAGCAAAACAAGACAGAAACATAAAATAAGTGAATGGAAGTGCGACAAAGTTCAGCTCTCCCCCAGGATGCCTGTTTTGGCGCTTTTGCTTGCAATCGTAAACGCTTTAAAAATAAAAGCAACATGTTGATGGTGCTCCAGCTCGTGCTTTGCCCACCTGTGGGCAACTCGGTGCCAGGTTAGCTGTGTGCGGGCATGGGAACAGAAAGGTCATGGACAGTTGGGACAAAATAGCCCTGCTGGGGAAAGGCGGTCATGAAAGAGAGGAGACCCAGAGGGACAGGGAGAGATGAGGCGGCCCGGGAGGGAGAGTGGATGACTTCCAGGGGGCTCAGTCTCCGGGGCTAGGTGCCCTCTCCTTTGACGTGATGTGCCCGTGACTGCAAGCCCCACCCCCACCCTGGGCTTAGGCTGGTTGGAGTGGCTTTGTGCTGGTCACCCCAGCCCCCACCCTGGGGGCCAGGACCCCCTGTGCCGCCACATACCGGTCATTGACGAAGGAGAACATGAGCAGCCTCTGCTCGATGAACCATTTCCACTCGGGGTTCTCACTCTGAAGGTCGCGGTAATTGTCGTTGGAGACGATGACCCCATCCAGCTCGTAGGCCACCTTCACGATGTAGCGGTCATCATAACAGACCACCCTCTTGCCGTTCACCTTGCGGGACGGGGTGTACACAAGCACGGCCTGCCTCTCCAGCGCCTCCAGCATGTGCTGCTCTGGGGGCCACAGGGCGGGCAGGAGATAGAATGTGGCAGCTTCCGGGGCAGGGCTCCCACCCCCAAATCCATCCTCACATCCCCCAGCATGCTCGGCGGCTCAGGGAGCCTCTCTGAGCCAGCTGCCTCCTCCCCCACCATGGCCCAGCCTGGCAGCTCAGTGAGGAGCTGGGGGTCCTGAGAGGCGTGTGCCAGCAGCCTGGGGTCAAGGGGACCCGAGTCATGACAGGATTCCCCAGAACAGTACTCAACAAGGCAGCGTCACTTCAGAAGGCACAGTGAAGCCTTAGCTCTTGTCCTTCTGATGGTTACATGACATAAGGCCCTACCACACTAGACACCAGAGTCCTTCTGGAGAAAGACGTTGGAATTTTAACTGGAATCCTGGCAATGCCAGTTACTAGAAGACTTGCAATCCCCCTGAAAGGCTCCTGCCTGGGCCCACAGCTCAGAGCCACTCTCCATTTTCCCCATGGTATAGGGGTCTGCTTGGGACACCTTCGGGATAGAGCCTCCCATACCACAGCTCTGAGGGACCCAAGAATGTAATAAGAGGCATCTGGGATTAAAAATCTATAACCCGAGGGGGCAGCCTGGGTGGCTCAGTCATTGAGCATCTGCCTTTGGCTTGGGTCGTGATCCCAGGACAGGTTCTGGGATCAAGTCCCCACGTCGGGGCTCCTTGCTCAGCAGGGAGCCTGCTTCTCCCTCTCCCACTCCCCCTGCTTCTGTTCCCTCTCTCCCTGTCAAATAAATAAATAAATAAATAATCTTTAAAAACAAACAAACAAAAAAGAATCCACAACCTGGGGACTCCTGGGTGGCTCAGTGGGTTAAGCCTCTGCCTTCGTCTCAGGTCATGATCTCAGGGTCCCATGATCGAGCCCCGGATCAGGCTGTCTGTTCAGCAGGGAGCCTGCTTCACCCCACCCCACCTCTCTGCCTACCTCTCTGCCTACTCGTGACCTCTCTCTCTCTCTGTCAAATAAATAAGCAAAATCTTTAAAAAAAAAAAAAAAAACGCCTATAACCTGGATTCTTGTCTCCATTCCCACTCCTAGGCACCTCGTTCCTCTCTGAACACCAGATTTTGCATTTCCTATAAATGAGCATAGTGAGTCCTCCTTCACATCCTCCGTGTCTGTGAGCAAACTGGATGAGCTCATCCAGTTCCCAGGTAGACAGGTGAGGAAGTGAACGCATATCACGTAGCACAGGGTCTCTTTGGGAGCTAAAATCCACATTCCTGGAAAGTTTACTCTTTGACCTTAGTTGTGCCTTTGGGGACATGCCGAAGAAAATCCCTTCTACCGGTAACAGTTACTCAGAACTTGGAAGAACATCAGCGTCTCCTTCACAAATTGTTTCTTCCCTCAAGTCGACATCCTTTCCTACATGACATGGTTTCCAGACTTTTAAAAAAAAGTACATAATGTGTAGAGGGTACAAAGGGTGCGTGTTTTTTTTTTTTGAGGAAAACAACTGTACCTTTTATTTCTATTAATCTTCCAACATCCAGTTGTCATTTCCAATGGCTACTATGAATTATATACTTTTTTTGGGGGGGGGTGTGGTTTTTTTTTTAATTTTATTTTTTATAAACATATAATATATTTTTCCCCCAGGGGTACAGGTCTGTGAATCGCCAGGTTTACACACTTCAGAGCACTCACCATAGCACATACCCTCCCCAATGTCCATAATAACCCCACGCCCCCCTCCCAACCTCCCTCCCCCCAGCAACCCTCAGTTTGTTTTGTGAGATTAAGAGTCACTTATGGTTTATCTCCCTCCCAATCCCATCTTGCTTCATTTACTCTTCTCCTACCCCCTTAACCCCCATGTTGCATCTCCTCTCCCTCATATTAGGGAGATCATATGATAGTTGTCTTTCTCCGATTGACTTATTTCGCTAAGCATGATACCCTCTAGTTCCATCCACGTCGTCACAAATGGCAAGATTTCATTTCTTTTGATGGCTGCATAGTATTCCATTGTGTATATATACCACATCTTCTTTATCCATTCGTCTGACGACGGACATCTAGGTTCTTTCCATAGTTTGGCTATTGTAGACATTGCTGCTATAAACATTCGGGTGCATGTGCCTCTTCGGATCACTACGTTTGTATCTTTAGGGTAAATACCCAACAGTGCAATTGCTGGGTCATAGGGTAGTTCTATTTTCAACTTTTTGAGGAACCTCCATGCTGTTTTCCAGAGTGGTTGCACCGGCTTGCATTCCCACCAACAGTGTAGGAGGGTTCCCCTTTCTCTGCATCCTCGCCAGCATCTGTCATTTCCTGACTTGTTAATTTTAGCCATTCTGACTGGTGTGAGGTGGTATCTCATTGTGGTTTTGATTTGTATTTCCCTGATGCCGAGTGATATGGAGCACTTTTTCATGTGTCTGTTGGCCATCTGGATGTCTTCTTTGCAGAAATGTCTGTTCATGTCTTCTGCCCATTTCTTGATGGGATTATTTGTTCTTTGGGTGTTGAGTTTGCTAAGTTCTTTATAGATTCTGGACACTAGCCCTTTATCTGATATGTCGTTTGCAAATATCTTCTCCCATTCTGTCAGTTGTCTTTTGGTTTTGTTAACTGTTTCCTTTGCTGTGCAAAAGCTTTTGATCTTGATAAAATCCCAATAGTTCATTTTTGCCCTTGCTTCCCTTGCCTTTGGTGATGTTCCTAGGAAGATGTTGCTGCGGCTGAGGTCGAAGAGGTTGCTGCCTGTGTTCTCCTCAAGGATTTTGATGGATTCCTTTCTCACATTGAGGTCCTTCATCCATTTTGAGTCTATTTTCATGTGTGGTGTAAGGAAATGATCCAATTTCATTTTTCTGCATGTGGCTGTCCAATTTTCCCAACACCATTTATTGAAGAGGCTGTCTTTTTTCCATTGGACATTCTTTCCTGCTTTGTCGAAGATTAGTTGACCATAGAGTTGAGGGTCTATTTCTGGGCTCTCTATTCTGTTCCATTGATCTATGTGTCTGTTTTTGTGCCAGTACCATGCTGTCTTGATGATGACAGCTTTGTAGTAGAGCTTGAAGTCCGGAATTGTGATGCCACCAACTTTGGCTTTCTTTTTCAATATTCCCTTGGCTATTCGCAGTCTTTTCTGGTTCCATATAAATTTTAGGATTATTTGTTCCATTTCTTTGAAAAAAATGGATGGTACTTTGATAGGAATTGCATTAAATGTGTAGATTGCTTTAGGTAGCATAGACATTTTCACAATATTTATTCTTCCAATACAGGAGCATGGAACATTTTTCCATTTCTTTGTGTCTTCCTCAATTTCTTTCATGAGTACTTTAGAGTTTTCTGTGTATAGATTCTTAGTCTCTTTGGTTAGGTTTATTCCTAGGTATCTTATAGTTTTGGGTGCAATTGTAAATGGGATTGACTCCTTAATTTCTCTTTCTTCTGTCTTGTTGTTGGTGTAGAGAAATGCAACTGATTTCTGTGCATTGATTTTATATCCTGACACTTTACTGAATCCCTGTACCAGTTCTAGCAGTTTTGGAGTGGAGTCTTTTGGGTTTTCCACATATAGTATCATATCATCTGCGAAGAGTGATAGTTTGACTTCTTCTTTGCCGATTTGGATGCCTTTAATTTCTTTTTGTTGTCTGATTGCTGAGGCTAGGACTTCTAGTACTATGTTGAATAGCAGCAGTGATAACGGACATCCCTGCCATGTTCCTGACCTTAGCGGAAATGCTTTCAGTTCTTCTCCATTGAGAATGATATTTGCTATGGGTTTTTCATAGATGGCTTTGATAATATTGAGGTATGTGCCCTCTATCCCTACACTTTGAAGAGTTTTGATCAGGAAGGGATGCTGTACTTTGTCAAATGCTTTTTCAGCATCTATGGAGAGTATCATATGGTTCTTGTTCTTTCTTTTATTAATGTGTTGTATCACATTGATTGATTTGCGGATGTTGAACCAACCTTGCAGCCCTGGGATAAATCCCACTTGGTCGTGGTGAATAATCCTTTTAATGTACTGTTGAATCCTATTGGCTAGTATTTTGGTGAGAATTTTTGCATCTGTGTTCATCAAGGATATTGGTCTGTAGTTCTCTTTTTTGATGGGATCCTTGTCTGGTTTGGGGATCAAGGTGATGCTGGCCTCATAAAATGAGTTTGGAAGTTTTCCTTCCATTTCTATTTTTTGGAACAGTTTCAGGAGAATAGGAATTAGTTCTTCCTTAAATGTTTGGTAGAATTCCCCTGGGAAGCCGTCTGGCCCTGGGCTTTTGTTTGTTTGGAGATTTTTGATGACTGTTTCAATCTCCTTACTGGTTATGGGTCTGTTCAGGCTTTCTATTTCTTCCTGGTTCAGTTGTGGTAGTTTATATGTCTCTAGGAATGCATCCATTTCTTCCAGATTGTCAAATTTGTTGGCATAGAGTTGCTCATAATATGTTCTTATGATTGTCTGTATTTCTTTGGTGTTAGTTGTGATCTCTCCTCTTTCATTCATGATTTTACTTATTGGGGTCCTTTCTCTTTTCTTTTTGATAAGTCTGGCCAGGTGTTTATCAATCTTATTAATTCTTTCAAAGAACCAGCTCCTAGTTTCATTGAATTGTTCTACTGTTTTTTTGGTTTCTATTTCATTGATTTCTGCTCTGATCTTTATGACTTCTCTTCTCCTGCTGGGTTTAGGGTTTCTTTCTTGTTCTTTCTCCAGCTCCTTTAGGTGTAGGGCTAGGTTGTGTACCTGAGACCTTTCTTGTTTCTTGAGAAAGGCTTGTACCGCTATATATTTTCCTCTCAGGACTGCCTTTGTTGTGTCCCACAGATTTTGAACCATTGTATTTCCATTGTCATTTGTTTCCATGACTTTTTTCAATTCTTCTTTAATTTCCTGGTTGACCCATTCATTCTTTAGAAGGATGCTGTTTAGTCTCCATGTATTTGGGTTCTTTCCAAATTTCCTCTTGTGATTGAGTTCTAACTTCAGAGCATTGTGGTCTGAAA